TGGTTCAATGTTGGGTTCTTTTCAAGAGGCAGCTGGTCCAGGTCCTCCTATTTAGATAGAACTTAAGGCTATTAAGAAAGGGTTATCATTCTTTGCTTCGATTCAAAAAAGTTTTAAGGACATGTTAATTGTTGAATCATACAGTAAATTAGCAGTGAAATGGGTCAAGAATATCGACCGTTGTCCCTATGTGTACTTAGACATTGTGACAGCTATTTTTGATAAGATTAGAGGTTTGAATGGTAGTATTAGATGGGTTGCTAGGTCAGCCAATGTTGAGGCTAATAGTTTAGCTAAGGCTGGTATTGGATAGATACGATGTTTTCATTTGGTTGGTTGGGTTATCAGTTAGGCTTTGGGTTAGTTATCTGTAAGAGAGACTGTATGGTTGTTTCTATGTTTTTGTAACTTGTGGTTATCAATGAATTATTTAAGCACTCTTTTCCTCCTTTCGCTGATTAAGGAGCACCTTGTGATCCTTTAATCATGAAGGGAGTTTTTAACGAGGCCTATCATTCCTATAAAAAATGTTTTTTTAGTAGTGGGTTAAACAATCTTAGAGGTGTTATTGAATCTCCTTCGATCGAATCCTCATGGGGTTTATTATGTTGTTGGGATGATAATATTTTTGAGTTGGAAAGTCAGCATGTTAGCAGGAGATTTATAGCTGTTATGGGTAAATTTCGAACTAACAATTTCAGCTGTGGGTTCATCAATGTTTATGGCCCATCAGTGGAGGAGGAAAAAACCAGTTTTTTGAAGAATTAAGTCTTTACTTAAGTGGTCAGAACTGTCCCGTTTGTGTAGGAGGGGATTTCAATGCTTTCTTGTATGAAGAAGAGAAGATTGGCAGATGGCAGAATAGAAATTCAATGGATATTTTCAGTCAGTTTATTCTTAAATTTGGTCTTATTGATCTTTCTATGACTGAGGGTAGGTTTACTTGGAGTAATAACCAAGATAATCCCACCTTTGTAAGATTGGATCGGTTTGTAGTTGATAGTCAATTTTTGGCTACATTTCCTGGCATCATTAAGTCATTTCAAGATTTGTTTCAGACCACAATGCTATAACTATTGAGAATAAGGGTATAAATTGGAGTAAAAAACCTTTCAGATTATTCAATTACTTGATGGAGGAGGAAGGTTTTGAGGATTTGGTTAAGTCTGCTATTCAAAACAACAAGAAAAATCAAAGGAAAGTGGGTGTTTTTAATCTTCTGAAGAGTACCAAATGTGCAATCAAAAAGTGGGATGGGAAGAGAGATCAGTATCCATGAGCTTTGATTACCGAATTGGAAAAGAAAATTCACAAGTTAGAGGTCGACGTCCAGCAACAGCAAGGTGTTATTGACAGTGAAGTACTAGCAGAATTGTGGAGACTTTATAGAATTCAGGAGCAGATTTATTTCCAGTATTCCAGATCGAGATGGATAAAAAATGGTGATCGTAATAACAAATATTTCCATACTTGTGCTACAGTGAGAAAAAAGAGGAATGCATTGAATGCTCTGAACATTCGGGGAAAGACTATTCAAGACCCGAATGAAATAAATGCCACAGTAAGGGATTACTTCTTTAAAATATTCAATGAGCGATCCACATTGGAAACTGAAGACATAAGGCTGGATTTTTCCAAAAATACTTTCGAGCAAAGTCAGTTGTTAGAGAGAGAATTTTATGAGGAGGAGATTTGGGAAACTTTAAAGTCTTGTGACAGTAATAAAGCCCCAGGGCCGGATGGTTTAAATTTGGGGTTTTTTAAGAGGTTCTGGCATGTTCTTAAGGAAGATATTATGAAATTCTTTCATAATTTCTATTTGGGGAAAGAATGGGAACATGGTATAAACCATACATTTATCACTCTCATTCCAAAGAATTCGAATATTGGTGGCCTAGAAGATTATAGACCCATAAGCTTAGTTGGTGGGCTATATAAGATCTTGTCTAAGTGTCTATCAAGGATGTTAAGGAGCTGCATTTCAGACATTATCAGTCCTTCTCAATTTGCTTTCATCCCTGGTCGACAAATTTTGGATTGTTCTTTAATTGCTAATGAGGGGATTGACTTTTGGAGGAAGAATGGGTTAAAGGGCTATGTTTTTAAAGTTGATTTTAAGAAGGCATATAACACAATCGACTGGCCTATTTTATTCAAAGTAATGGAGAAAATGGGCTTTGATTCTAGATGGAGTGGCTGGATCTCGAAATGTGTCACAACATTCTTCTGTATCAGTCTTGGTTAACGGGGTTTCTTTAGAGGAATTCCCAATGGCAAAAGGTCTTCGCCAAGGCTGTTCCTTGTCTCCTCTGTTATTCAACATAGTAGGGGAACTTCTTAATTTAATGATCCTTAAGGCTGTTTCAGAGGGATTATTTTCGGGTATGGTTATGAGCAGGGAGGAGGGGACTTTCAAATTATCTCACCTACAATTTGTTGATGACCTCATAATTATTGTGGTGCATCGAAGCAACAGATTATAAATGTTAAGAGGGTGCTTCGAGTGTTCGGAGTTATGTCTGGTCTTTAATTGAATTTAAAGAAATGTAAACTATTTGGGGTTAATTTGAATAAAGAGGAAGAGAATGGGAAAAGGCTGTTGGATGTTCAATTGGTAGCTTTCCTTCAGAGTACGTAGGACTTCCTCTTGGAGCACAAAGAAATTCAAATCTTCTGTGGGATCCAGTGGTTCACAGTTTCAACAAGAAGTTGGCGGGTTGGAAGGCATCCTCACTTTCTATGGCAGAGAGGTTGGTATTAATTAAAACAGTCTTATGCTCACTTTCTACATATTTTTTGTCATTGTTTAAGGTTCCGGCTTCGGTCTACAGGTCCTTAAACTCAATCATGTCCAATTTTTTATGGGGCAGAGGAAATGGTAAAAATAAAATTCATTGGGTGGGCTGGTCCACTGTGTGCAAACCAAAGTTCGAATGTGGGTTGGGGGTTTTGAATATCAACATGGTAAATAGAACTCTTTTAGAAAAGTTGTCTTGGAGGTTTGCAAATGAAAGGAATGTGGTTTGGAGGAAGTTTATTTGTACTAAATACAATATAGACTATTCATTATTGTTGTTTGACAGTAAGGTTACTCTAAAATTTTCTTGGATATGGAGATCTTTGGTGAACAACCATTTCAGAGAAGACTATTGGTTGTAAAATTAGAAGCCTCTAGTTTTCATGTTGGTGACGGGAGTATCATTCGGTTTTGGGTTTTGGCAAGATGTTTGGGTTTTGGATCAACCATTACTGGTCATTTTCCTAGATTATTCTCCATTTCATTAAACAAGACTGGAAAATTACCCGAGTTTGCTGAATATAGCTCTAGGGTTGGTCTTGGGATGTTCAATTGAGAAGGGAATTGAATGATTGGGAATAGGAGCAGTGGTCTAATTTGATGGCAGTCATTTCAAACTTCTCCCTTTTTGTTGATTCCTCTGATGGGCTAGTTTGGAAGGGCACTGGAGATGAGGTATTTTCTGTCAAATCTTGTGTTAGTCATTGTTATTCAGGGACTTCAGGTTTAGAGGAGGTTCATTTATGGAATAATGTAATTTGGAAGGAATTGCTACCTCCAAGAGTTGAGACATTTGTATGGAAAGTGATTCTATAGAAGCTGGCAGTGAAGACAGTTCTGGTTAAAAGAGGTGTGAAGGGTATCGATGACTTGTTATGTCCTCTTTGCAAGCAGTTTGATGAGTCCCCCTCACATTTATTTTTTACTTGTTCAGTGGCTTAGTCTATTTGGAATAAATTCATGAGGTTCTAGAAGATTCACTCTGTTTTTCATGCTGTTGCAAAAAGATTTCTCCTACCATGGGCTGATTAGAGGACTAACTCACTCATATGGTCATTTATTCCGGGGGTCGTCCTATAGACCATTTGGAAATTAAGGAATTCTATTGTGTTTAAAGGAGGAAAGCTAGATCAAGCTGAACTTTTCTATTTAGCTAGGTTCAGGCTTGCTTCATAGTATTTAGCAAAGTATAAACAGGTTTTGATCTCTAAGGATTCTCTTATTGCTAATCCTTCATTGGGGGATTATTGTTTTCCTTACTCTAACCCGATTATAACTATTATTTCTTCCTTCAAATTAAAAGATGACTCGGGGTCGATCCTAGGATCTTTTAAGGAGTCTGTAGGTCCGGGGCCTCCTACTATGATGGAATTGAAAGCTATCCTTAAGGGCCTATCTTTCTTTTACTCTATTCGACACAGGTTCAAGGATCGCTTAATCATTGAGAGTGACTGCAGGGTGGCAGTTGACTGGGTTAAGGATATTGTTTCATATCCCGATGTTTATGCTTACATTGTTAAAAATATTATTGATGAGCTTAGAATTTGTGAAGGTGTTATTAGATGGGTTAATAGGACAGCTAATCTAGAGGCAGATGCCCTAGCTAAGGCTGGAATTGGTTGATTATTTTGTTAAGGGATGTAATTAGTTTGGTTGTCTATCTCCTTAAGGGAGCTATAAGGTGTTGTATTCCTATGTTCTAATCTTAATATTAATGAAATCATAAGGCACTATTTTCCTCCTTCCGTCGATTAAGGAACTGTTTTCAAGTTCCATTAATCATGAAGGGGGTTTTTAACGAGGTCGGCTATTCTTATAAAAAAAAAGATGCCCAGAGGCTCTAGATGACTTCTGGCTAATTATGAATGCATATATCAATACAGAACTTCCAACATCTAGAATCTTTTCACCTCATTTAACTACATTATCTTCTTTGTTTTCATCTAAAAACTGCACCCTTTTTAACAAAATTAGATACATAGAAACTTTTGCATCTAAAAGGATAATTAAACAAAAAATATTTAGAGCATATCATCTAAATTATGACCAATAAAATTGCACCATATTAGATATTTCCACACAAAATGTAACAGATAATGTTACACATACAGCTTTTTCCATGTATTAAAATTCAAAGCTGTGTCTCAGTTTAAATTGGAAGTTCTGAAAGAACAAATATCGTCAAACAATACAGAAGTATCACCTCTTGAACACAAACAATGTCAGCACGATAACCAACAATTTCCCTCAACAGGTTCTGTCTGCGATATGCCCAAGAAAGGGCCCATGAAGGGCAATAACTGTACAGCTCGCGGCTGGTATATGAATCAGACAAAATGTTGTACGAGAGAACAGTAAAAGTTCCAGAGGATGAAATGCGATCATCTGAATCCAGTTGTGTCATCATATCACCTCCACCTACCGGGATCAAATGCCGAGGACTAGGGGAAGGCGCTGGAATAACATAAGATGTCGAAATAGTATTGGGATGCCCCACAGGTAGTTTCGATGCTGCATCAATGACCACACATTCAAACTTGAGAACATGACCAATATCATATGTAGTTGGTGTATAGATTTTAGATCGTCCGACTTCAAACCAGGTTTCACCATCGCTCCTTTGTGTAAAGGAAGCAGGATACAGAGGTGTTGAACCATTCTTCAAGTTAGTGGTTGATGAATTAGTTAGAATGACACTAATATCTCCAGACCCTGTGCTATTGAAACGACCAAATATCTCTTCCTCTTCATTTCCATTTTCGTTTCCAGCACTTGCAGCACAGTCATGAAGAACACGATGATGTTTCCATGCATCTGAGAAGCACTGTGGAGAGCAATGGTAACTTTTAGCAGCATCTATTTTTGTCTTAACACAACCTAGACACTGCAAAGTGGATTGCTCAGAGGGATGTACACTACAGACAGCAACTTTCCTATCACTTTGTATGCGATACCTGAGAAACATACCCAAGAAAGGAGAAACATGTATTATACTAGTATACACCAAAACTTTTGAAACAATCATCTTGCTCTAATCCCACAAAAGAAACAATCTAATGAAAAGATCAACTTAAGGTACACACATCAGTTGAATAATCGATCATCAAATATTAGAATTTTACCAAACAACATAACCAAAGCATGTATAAGTTCAGTAACTCATAGTGGTAAAAGCTATTTTTCTTACCATGAAAAGCAGCAATTTAGAATTACAATGCTTAATATTCTCATCTAAGTTCAATTAAAACTAAAAAGCAGTTTTAATCAAATGCAAGTCTGTTAGCACCCTAACAAGCTAGAATTTCATTGCAATCTCTATGAACTAAAGAAGACAAACGAAATCTAAGTAAACCCAAAGAAAATATTGTCCAACTCAAAAGCAAAATCAAGAAACTACTTCTTTAGGCCTTCAAAAATTGCAAAAAAATGACACCATAAATCTAGCACATAGAGTAACAAAAGGCAGAGTGCTACAGATCAAAAGATAACATGATAAATCTAGCACATAGAGTAGCAACAAAAGGCAGATTGCAACAATTCAAAAACAATTATATGGTAAATCTAGCACATAGAGTAACAAAAGAGTGCAACAAATAAAAAGCAAACATAACATCTCCAAATGCAAAAGGGAAAAGCCTCAACTTGCCAAGGGCTTCCTTATGTAGTTATTAAAGGCAACCCATCAAAGAAGTATGTATACTAATTTACTATAACCAATCCAATAATACCACACCCAAGAAACTAGCTAAATCCTCAAAGCTGAAAGCCTCAACTTATAAAAGCTTTGGTGATTCAAAACTTTTCTCCTTGTAAACACTTAAGACCCACATAAAGCAGTCCACATATTTAGTGAAAGAACAATAAAAAAATACCAAACTAAAAGAAAAAGCTCAAAACCCAATTGCCCAATATGACAAATAACCAACTACAAAAACCTAAAAATAATAACAATAAAGCCAAAGGGAAAAAAGGGGAAGACTTTAACTCTTAATTCAAAAGTTCACGTAATTAATAAAAATGTAAATCATATAGGCCAAGATAGAGTCCAAAGTGGCTAGAACGATGTCCAAATGAACAACCTCATTAAGTAATCAATAGAAGAGCTAAAAATTTACTCGACATATTTAAAAACACTTACCACTTGTATCTCAATAAGTGACCATCAAGAGGGGCAGACTCAAGCACATCATCAGTGGTAACGGTCTTGTCTGGTCGGCGTAAGAGCACGTAAGGCGTGAGCTCACAACCAACAATTGGTATATCAGACGGGAGGTGCACCCGTAGCACGCTCAGCATGCTGTAACTTGTCTGGCTTCCTTTGTTTGTCACAGTTTGCAACGGTCACCTCTTTGTAAGCCTGACAAAGCCAATCCCACAATAGGAGGAGCAGTAGAACAAGAAATGTCCTCGAACCGATTAGCAATCCTACCATGGCAGAGTCCAAGGGGTGACGCAATTACTTGAGCCAAAAACCCGCCAGCCTTGACCACAATTCACCCTCTAGTTTTCAATTAAAATAAACCCTATAAAAGCTCTAAATTTAATCTCGAAAATATAGAAAAACAAAGCAAATAGCAGATCTTGAAACAAAAATTAGGGCTCGGGAAAAAATGATCGAAGGAAAAAGAAAACATAAGAAAAAATTGGGGACTTATGGGAGAGGGTTTTCGATAATTTTCCCAATAAATCACTGGTGATCGGTATATTTACCGATCTAACACCAGTCAGATTATATTTCCCGATCTAACACCCGTAGTAGTAAAGCGCGCCCCTGAATCGCGCTATACACTGATTTGGCGTCACGTGGGTATAGCGCGCCCCCTATCCCGCGATATACGGTGATCTGGCGCCACGTGGGTATAGCTCGCCCCCTGATCTGCGCTATACCTGGGTATCTGACACGTGAGGTATAGCGCGGTGTAGGGGGCGCGTTATACCCCTAAATACCCAACCCTTCACGTCCCCATCCTCAATCACTTTTATCACACCAAATTCTCTCAAATTCTCTAAATTTCTCTCAAATACTCTATCTTTTTAAGGTATATTTTATAATATTTTTACTATTATGTATTTACTTTATTTAATATTTTACTAATATAATTCTTTTGCAGATATATAATGGAAGGCAGTCTATTTCGCTTGGATGAAAATCATTTATCTCTACACTTTGCTGATACAGTAATGTTTAAACGTTTTAATTTAATTTAAATTATTTGTAATATTTAGTTGATTTATTTAATGCATGGTTATTAGATTAAAAATTAAATATCTCGACACTTTGCTGATACGGTAATATTTTAACGTTTTAATTTAATTTAAATTATTAGTAATAATTAGTTGATTTATTTAATGCATGATTATTAGATTAAGAATTAAATATCTCGACACTTTGTTGATACGGTAACATTTTAACATTTTAATTTAATTTAAATTATTAGTAATAATTAATTGATTTATTTAATGCATGATTATTAGAGTAAGAATTAATTTTTGTAATTATTTATTTTTAGGAGAATGATCGTGTATTAGATCATTTTATTAGGAATCTTAAGTTAGTGATACTCAGCCGTGTCTTGCCGTATTTAGTAGAGGTTAGATTCGGTTACATAGGTAGATATCAGGGTCACTATAAGATAGAGCCAGACCTGATTTCTGCCTTAGTAGAGCGATGGAGGCCGTAGATCCACACATTCCATCTTCCGTGCGGAGAGTGCACGATCACGCTTGAGGATGTTTCTATGCACCTGGGGCTTCCGGTGGATAGAGATGTGATATCGGGGATAGCTTCCGGTTCTTTGACTACTTTGTGTCGGGATAGTCTAGGACGTGTCCCGAAAAATTTTATCGGAGGTAGGATACCGTTAAATTGGTTAAATGCCAATTTTCGGGAGTTGAGCGCAGACGCCTCTAAGGATGAGGTTAAGATGTATGCACGGGCATGCACACTACAACAAAATTTCTTATTAGTGGTGTAACACCCCCAACCCGTATCCGACCCAGGTCCGAGTCCGAAGTGTGACATTGACTTTTCAAAAACCTTTACTTGTATAAAATAGTGAGTAATTTAAAATTTATTATTATATATAACTTATTCAAAACCTTTATCGAACTATTCAGAGCTTATACAATATATTATCTTGAATACATGCCAACTAGAACTTTATGTATTAAAATACATATTATTCACCTTTCTTCTGATCTGACCTTTGGCAAGGAGAACTGACCTGTCTTGCTCCACATTGCTCTTTACTCTTCTTATCACTTCGGTAACCTACGTGTGAAACAATCACACGCTAAGTCGATGACTTAGTGAGGCATTAAACACATTAAAGTAACTCTAACTACTTAATCATGCATGAACATATCATATCATGCTATCTGATCAAAACAATATAACATTTCATGTAATCAAATGTACACATATACACATCATCATATAAATCATATAATACAATTCATATCACAAAAGCATATACTTTACATGTAATATATATGTTTATTATTATCTCTTTGTTAGCCCATGTACATCTGTGAGAACTGTAAATATGTGAGTCTATTGAGGTTGTGCACTATGCTGTCACCACAGCTCGTATAAATGCACCGAAGTGCCACGTAGAATTGCACCGTAGTGTCGCGTAGAAATGCACCGAAGTGCCACGTAGAATTGCACCGTAGTGTCGCGTAGAAATGCACCGAAGTGCCATATAAGATTTTCCCTAAGGACCACATATCATTCCTTAAGAATCATATACATATGCCAAGGATCAAGTATGTGTCTCAAAAGACCTCACACATGTTCCAAAGAATACATATATGTCCCGAATGACCGCGTAGACCCTCGACTCTTGGCATGCCAACTATACCCTAGCTCTCATGACACATAACATGGGCATCATCATTTATGTCATTTCACATTTTCACATAAACACGTAGTTCACTTTCACATAGCACATAGCTCATATCCATTTTTCATACTATTTCACATTTCTTGTCACATTGCTTATATCTTATTTTTATATCTTATCCTATATATATATAGATAGTCACATGTTCATATAATCCCTCATTTCCTCATCTAAATGTGTATTCATATAATTCATCTTCATATATATATATATATATATATATATATATATATATATATATATATATATATATATATATATATCATTTTTCCTATACTTGTATTCACATCATTTATATTCTTCTTCTCATAATCTCATATGTCCTGATTAATAGCTTATATCATATATGTATAAAATAACTTATCTCGTATCATATAGCTTATACCTCATTCTATGATATTCACCTAGATCATATCACATCTGTCATACTCATAAACATATGTCACTTCTATTATTTCATTTATATACTAATCTAATCTATTTATCTAGTTCAATTCATATAGTACCTATAACTTTCTAATATGACTACCTAGATTTCCATCATACAACCCATATATCATAATTTTATTTAAGCATATGTATCTTTCCCATCTAACTCATCTTATATGTTCCTATTATCACTTATGTTCAAGTCTCATATCATCATATAGGTCATATTATTTATCTTGTTTCAATTTTCATTCAATGATATAATTCTATTTTACTATTTCACATAAATGTTCATACCACTATTCACTTACTCAACTCACATTCTTATTGTTTATATAACCTTTACATTTGAGTACTTCATTCCCATCATTTCTTCTAAACTAGCTTTTTACCATATTCCCATATTATTACTTAATTTATCTCCTATCATGTATTCGCGTAATCTTATATTCCATTTCTATATATCTCAACGATCTTATCACATAACTTCTCTTTTATATTCATATAATTTCTTATCATATCATCATAACATAGCATATATTCACATCAACCATGAAATACATATATAATAACATGTCAACACATACCATAACATATAGCTCAGACACTCATAACAAACACATGTTCATGTTCATGCGTCATGCACAATACTATAGAAATTAGACTTGTAGCAAGTCTTATTTCCCATTAAACATCATATATAAAATAATGTGCGCTCACCTTGGCCTTACTAAGTTCCAATCCATTTTTATAACTTCTTCTCTTGCGATCGAATCATAACTTGATAATCGTTCCGGGACTTGTTCGTGCTCGATATCTATATAATCATACATTGATACATATTAGTATCCAATTGATATACTCCAATCTATCATTTCTTAGACCAAAAGAAAGGTATAATTCTATTTCCCTTGAAGTGCATCGATGCATTCTACAGTGTATCTATGCATCCCTTAACATGTGCATCGATGCACTCCTTATGCATCGATGCATTAATTGCATTCGATGTTTCCATTTTTAATGGGTGCATCGATGCACTTCCTGTGCATCGATGCACAATGAACAATTTCTGGAAATTTACCCTTGATGCATCGGTGCACCTTGAATGTGCATCGATGCACATAGCCCAGAAATCCAATTTATGCCCGAAAATCCCCTCTTTTCAACTTAATTACTTCATATATCATTCCATTTCGTATTCTTAACTTACTCCTATTCAAACTCATTTATATTCATTTATCTCGTCTTGAACCTTAATATACTCTCCTCTTTATTAACTTCAAGAATTATACCAGATTTCCAACATGTTTCAAAACTCATTTTATCACTTCATATCTCTTAATTTAACCCTTGACAAGTCAAATTTATCTTCCAATTTGAGTAATGAACTCTATTTCAAGATTTCACCCAAGAACCCCAAATCTTTAATCCTCCTAACTCCATCATACTTTGATTTTAAGATAACTTAAGCTTTCCTTAAGCTTAGTTATCATCTAATAATCAAAACCTAACCTTAAAATCAACAATTAATCCATAAACAAAGAAACTCACCTTTGAGCTTGGAGATACGGGAGGAGGAAGAAGAAGAAAGAAAACTTTAGATAATTCTCCTTTTCCACGTGGTTCCTTATCTTATAAAAGAAATATAAAAAATCTTACTTGTTAATTGACCATTTTACCCTTTAATTCATTCTATAATTACTAAATAACCTTCATCATATTTCCAATAAATCATTGAACTATTCAATTATCCTACTTTAATCACCAATTTCTAAAACTTTACAATTTGGTCACTAACCTGGTATTGAGGATGTTATAAGTGGCATATAGGTTATTGTCACTAAAACTTCAATTTATGTCACTAGATGTATTTTGTGACGTAAAAGTCAATGTCATGACGATCGTCACCCTAGGTGTGTCACTAAATGTCAAAAGTGACGATGTATGTGTTATCGTCATGTATTGTTAAATATATAATGACGTTAATGGATAACGTCATAGTTTAATTTGCATTCAGTGACAATTACTTTTTTCACCAAATAATGTACATTTTCATCATTAATAAATCATATCGTCACTAATAACACAATAATTTCA